TGTTGCCAGTCTGATGTCCCTACTCTTTACTATTTTATCGAGATTGGACATTGCTCTCCTCCCAAGAAGTAAGCGTCTTCTGATTTCCTGGCCACAGTCTGCATCTGCAGTAATCTTTGCACCTAGAAATACAAAGTCTGTCACGGCCTCCACGGTTTCTCCCTCTATTTTCCAGTTGTCAATCATTCTTGTTGCCATAATCTTGGTTTTTTGACGTTTAGCTGCAACCCGGCTTTTGCGCTTTCTTCTTTCACCTTGATTAGAAGGCTCCTCAGCTCCTCCTCGCTTTCGGCCATCAGAGTGGATTTGTATAGATCGTGGAAAAAAATGTATATCCCTATCCCAACTGAAACACAGAAATGACTGAGCCTACAGAGATATAAAATGGGCTCCTATTTCCATATTTATTTGACCCTTCTCTTTATGCAGGATCTAGGGCTAAATGTATAAAGGGCTGCTAAAATATGAAATAAAGAGGGATCAAGTAAAATACTGTACTATCATATGGGCTCAAAATCCCCAGCTCAAAATATTGCCACACAAATTCAAATGAAACAACGGAAGGTGTGGATGAAAGAGATAACATTACTTTGAGCAGTGATTTCTAAGACTTCTTTGTTGTCAAATAAGGGCAGTTCTACCAAATATTGGAAATACAAGGACAATTTTAGGTCATTTAATCTCATGTAGTGGTCTTGTGAAAAAGGCCCAGAAATGTTGAAATACCTTGTCAAGGTCAAATGTAAAACGTTGGGAATACAGGATACTCATTCAGAAAGAAAAATTAGGGGAATGTTACAATATATGACAACTGCTGTAAGAATGGTATATTCTCAGAAGTGGGAGGAAAAAAGCTTTACCAATGCAAGAATACCCAGATGAAAATCTGTGAAACAGAAATGAACAAATTGACTATGCTGATGAAGGATAAATCTTTGACTAACTTTAAGAAAGACTGTGACCTGCTGGCTAGCTTTTTACAACAATGGTAATTGAGGCATTTATTGACTTAGGGATTCATGAATGAGTAGTGTCATTTTAAGTAAAAGTATAATTAACATTGTTGTTTAAAGGGAGCAGACTATTAAGGGATAACAACCATCAGACAGAGAGTGGGTAATTTGCAGGGTTTTAAAAATAGTTGCTTAATTGTAAAGTATGTTGTTTTGTATATAGTGAGAAATGTTTTTTTCCAGGCAGTATAGACCTAAGCCATACAGGGCTTTAAAGGCCATAACGAACACTTTGAATTTTGTCCAGAAGCAAACAGATAACCAATGAAGCCATTACAATGGGGATGGGGCATTATATATTTCCTGTAATCAGCCGTAGTCAACCGCTAAGCTACAAAACTTTTGACCTGTTAATATTTTGAACAGTTTCTAAAGGCAGTCCCACACAGAATATGGTACAGTAATCCAACTGGGGTGTAAGATATGTATAACCATAACCATATCATTTGTTTCAAGGCTTTGTATACAACCACTCAGAAACAGACATTTATGGCTGTATTAAAATGCTCCTCCACATAGGAACTATTTCACTAGATTAAGACATTTTAGAGGAGGTAACAACTCAATTCCTCAAAAAAATAGAAACAGCTTTGAGCAAGAACAAAGAACAAGTTCCTACATTTCTCTACAGCAGTGGGTCTCAACCTGTGGGTCCCCATATGTTTTAGCCTTCAGCTCCCAGAAATCCTAACAGCTGGTAAACTGGCTGGGATTTCTGGGAGTTGTAGGCCAGAACACCTGGGGACCCATAGATTGAGAACCACTGCTCTACAGGAAGGAAATGTATCTACTTCCTTACTTGCTACCCATCAGTACAGAATAATAAAGTACACTCATTTAGCCAATACTTGTTTTGAGAAAGAATCTAGCCTATAAGCAATATTAGAACTGAATAAAGGCCTATTAACTATCCTAAACACATAAACTCTTTACATGCATGCCAACATGAGCATATTACTCCTCTAAACCTAAGTGAATATATAGTTTGATGAGTGCAGTAGCAGATGTACAATGCAGAAGAAAAAGTAGAGTAACCATTTTCTTTATTCATTTGTTATCTTAAATGGATACACAGGATCTGCTCATATGATATACCAGACACACACACACACAACCATGTTTATCCCAGTCTTTAAAAGTCTGGTGTCTTTTGTCTACTAGTCTACTGGCCAGTGGCAGCAGAGTAATGACTCCAGTAGCAGGCCACAACAACTCTACGAGGAGCACCGTCTGCTTGTATGTATCCTAGTTTTAGAGGGACAAAGCCTCCATCAACTCATTCATCTTCATATAATTCTTTATCACTTTCAGCTATCAGGAAAGTATTTAAACATGGAGTTGAATAAGGTCCCTCATCTGAAACCTTGAATATGTCAGGGAAGAAATGCACAGTACAGTACAACCTCTACATACGGGTGTCCCAACTTAAGAGTGTTTTGAGTTAAGGGTTATCATTCGGCCTGGGTTTTGCTTTGACATAAAGGCAGCATTTTGAGTTAAGAGCTAGTGCCAGAGGGAGTACTTTTTCATGTCAAGAGTGACTTGAGAAACTGCAAGTCACTTCTGGTGTGAGAGAATTGGCAGTCTGCAAGGATGTTGCCGAGGGGACACTCAGATGTTTTACCATACTATGGGAGGCTTCTCTCATGTCCCCACATGGGAAGCTGGAGCTGACAGACGGGATTCAAACCACTGACCTTTGAGTCAGCTGTCCTGTCGGCACAATCATTGCACCACCGGGGGCGCGAGTGTGAGAGTACAGGGCATTAGGGCTTTGAGAGAGTAGTCTCTGTGCCTTGTGCTCTCGTCAGCTTTGGGAGATTGCTGTTTGCTTTGCTCTTGTTCGCTTTGAGGAACTTTGGGTTAACTGATTTTGTGTGGTTTTTATTCCTGGTATGTTTGGCTTGATGAAGAGAAGGAGGAAGGCTGGAATGAGTACAGTATGAAGAAAATGATGCTTCTACCTCTTCACTTTGTGCTTCCTTGCGACATCTTTGTGTTTCTACCAATTTAAAGTTGATCTTTTTGTGTATGATTCCATGTGAATGTGCACGTTCTGCCTTTCTGTCACACTGGGCAACACACATTTTGTTGCCTCAAATGTGCTTCCTTGTCACAACTTTGTGCTTTTACCATTTTAAAGTTGATATTTCTTTTTTATTATTTCCTGTGAATGTGAATTTATTTATTATGTTATTTATAAAGTACATTTTCTTATTTTAAAACACATAACAAAAAGGGGTATATTAGAATGGATTAATACAATTTCAATGGGAAATTCGATTTGAGTTAAGAGCATCCTGAGTTAATAGCTCAGTCACGGAATAAATAAAACTCTTAAGTCAAGGTATCTGTATAAGAAACTGAGAAAACCCAACTCCTAGATGTCATGCAAAATGTATTTTATCTCTGATAGGCACTACAGACTTTTGCAGAGATACAGCTGGCATTCTACACCCACTGGCTCAACTGTCCATGGCTTGAAAATGTTTTTTTTTAAATTCTAAAACGCAAACTTTGATTTCGCCATTTTATATAAGGAGTGCCATTTCACTACACCACTCTAACCATTTAACAAGACTTGAACATTCATGGATTTTGGTAACCTAGAACCACATTCCTATGGATACCGAAGACGCACTGCATTATGTGGAAGAAAATAAACAATTGGTCTAGAACACTGTAATCATGAACAACTGGTCTTAGAAACCTTTCAGAAGAGGTACAACCATCTCACAGTTGTACTTTGATTGTAGTTTTAATTGAAAATGTAATTGAAGCAGATTACCTATGTTTATTAATATTCAACTGATTTCACTAGTGTTAATTACACCACAGACCTCAAAATATTTAAATAATATTAACTTATATTTTCCGAACATATATACTTTAACCAAAAATTGTTTCTGAATCCTGCTACAGCCCACTTTTATTTTAAACACTTTAGGATATCAAACTGAGTTGGCAAAGGGCCAAAACAAGTGCCAGGAATGGCGAGGAATGAAATGATTTCTACTACTCTATGCATCACTAAGAAATCTGACTTTGAATGAATCTACCAGTATTTAAACTGCAAGTACTCCAACAGCGAACATTATTTGCTATATAGCTCATATATGAATTCTTCTGATTTACTCCTTTTGTCTCTTTTATTAATATTTTCACAATGGAATATATATAACAAAGCCTTTTGAGTCATTTTTACGCCAGTTTTAAAAAATAGAGAGTAAAATATTTCCAGATGGAAATTTTAAGCTGTGTGTAGACCTGCAAGGCATCATTTGCATAAAAAAAGGGAGTATACAATCTGACAAATGAACAGAAAAAGTCACACAACTAACATTTGCTTTGGTGGTGAGGTACAGATTAGATTACTTAAAAAAAAAACCCTGAAATTGATCAGGAAGAGAAAATGTGTACCATCCCCATTCATTTACTTTCCCTATACATTTTTTTCATCCTGTCTTTCATTGAATTACCTTTATCTATTGTCTAATCTGATTTAAACTATCAGATGTGGAAACAATAGAGCCCTGGCAGCAGTTTTAAAAAAGAGTTATAAAGTGAAAAACTATTGGTTAAAGTGTTTGGATTTGATTTAATTTTTTTTCACAAGATGCTTAGCAAAACCATCTACCCAATGCCAGCAATCTCCCTCTTTTTAAACTAGAAATAAACTTTTATAGCAAGAAAGATCCCCTTTGAAGTTAAAATCCCACATGGCGCTGCCTGACAGGCTTTGTTAATTAGCAAACTAACCCCCCCCCCCCCAATATCAAGCAGAACATCGACAGGACATCTGTGACAGAAAAATCTGTAATGTGGCTAGTTTTCAGAAATTCAGTTATACAATTCTAAGTTGTAAGAATGCAATCTGCAAGACAGACTCTTGCAAAGTCACTTCTATCCCTTGGATACCAAATGAAGAATTCTTAGTTAGGTTTTTCCTCTTAGTGGTAGTCTAATCTCACAATTCGCAGTATGCACCACAGTGCCTTAAACTGCAAAGCTTCTGGAAAACCCAAACAAAAAGGAACGTCACAAGATGACGTCAGCCTATATACAGTTGTGTGGTCGCAGCACATAAGCAAATGCGTTCCTGTATCGTATCCCTGAAAGCTTTTCAGCAAATGCATTCAAGCGACTATAGAAGCTTCTCTCAGCAATAAGCCACCCATCTGCCATCAACAAGTTACGACAAAAAAGCCATAGCTGTGGAAAACGCTTGCAGTTAAACAGCTGTACAGAACAAAAACAGAGAACTCCAGTTCAGCACTGATTCGGGAATTTGCAGAGCTGTCACTGAAAATCAAGGAAATGAATTCAAAAGGAATATATGACAATGGGATGTGAAGTCATTTTTACTCTTAATAGCGGAAGACAGTAGATGTAAATTATTCAAAGGCTGTCAACGTTAGAGCTTTTTACAGACTCACTGTGTTGAGTCTAAAACTACGACTGAATGAAACCTCCAACGTACTCAAAAGAATGGGTAAGTTTATACATTTTGATTTGCTGTATTATGTGCAGTCAATTTTACTTTAGAAAGAGGTAAAAATAGCATTTTAATGTTTTTTTAAAAATGCAACTAGGTAGTATTTGTCAATAATTGCAATAATTTAGACAAATTTCATATCAGATTTATTTAAAGCGTAAAGACCTCAGCACATTAATGCATGTCATTACCTGCTGCAATCTTTTTTCTTTTTTATTGTGAGCATTTATCTGATAAGAATATCCTATTTTGTTGTTTCCTTGAACTATATTCTGCAGGCTTACATTTCAAGTGGCCATTAGGGACTCCTGTGCTGGCAGCAGTATATGCAATGAGTATTGTTTTTAAAATGCTGCCTGCCTTGGGCACGGCTTGTCCACCAAAATGCCGTTGTGAGAAGCTGCTCTTTTACTGTGACTCTCAGGGGTTTCACTCAGTGCCAAACACCACTGACAAGGGCTGTCTAGGTTTGTCATTGAGGCACAATTTTATTACGGAACTTGAAGGGGATCAGTTTGCAAGCTTCAGTCAACTTACATGGCTTCATTTAGACCATAATCAAATTGATACAATAAGAGAAGATGGTTTTCAAGGACTGTATAAACTAAAGGAATTAATTTTAAGTTCAAACAAAATCTCTTATTTGCCAAACACAACTTTTAGCCAACTGCTTAACCTGCAACATTTGGACCTCTCTTCCAACCAATTATCTGCTTTGCATCCTGAATTGTTCTATGGCCTTCGCAAACTGCAAACCTTGAGTTTACGTTCCAATTCCCTGAGGACTATACCAGTCCGTCTATTTTCAGACTGTCGTAGTTTGGATTTTTTGGATCTGAGCACAAATCGTTTGCGAAGTTTGGCACGCAATGGATTTGCTGGATTAATCAAACTGAGGGAGCTTCACCTAGAGCACAACCAGCTGACAAAGATTAACTTTGCTCATTTCCTACGGCTAAGCAATCTGCACATGCTCTTCTTGCAGGGGAATAAAATTAGCAACTTGACTTGCGGGATGGAATGGACCTGGGTCACTCTAGAAAAGATAGATTTGTCTGGAAATGATCTCAAAGCCATTGATATGACAGTTTTTGAAATAATGCCTAATCTTAAAGTACTCCTAATGGATAACAACAAACTAATCACTCTGGAATCCAAGGTTTTATATTCACTTAAAACCCTCACTACGGTGGGCCTCTCCAGCAACCCTTGGGAATGCAGCCCCAAAATATGTTCATTAGCCACATGGCTGAGTGGCTTCCAAGGTCGGTGGGAGCACTCTATACTTTGTCATAGCCCAAACCACACCCAGGGAGAGGATATTCTAGATGCAGTGTATGGTTTTCAGCTTTGCTGGAATTTATCAACTGTTCTTACATCCATTGCTACAAGCTACAGAGCTCCAACGACTGAATATACAAAAAGGATAAGCTCCTCAAATTTCCATGTGGGAGACAAAGAAATTTCAACTACTACAGGCATACCTATTACGACAGAAGATCAGTTGCCTGAACCAAACAATGTCATCTTCACTCAGCAGGTAATTACAGGAACAATGGCTTTATTATTTTCTTTCTTTTTTATCATTTTTGTAGTGTTCATCTCCAGGAAGTGCTGCCCTCCCACATTAAGAAAAATTAGGCAGTGCTCAATGATTCAAAGCCACAGGCAACTGCGATCTCAAACACGGCTACATATGTCAAATATGTCAGACCAAGGACCATATAATGAATATGAACCCACCCATGAAGGACCTTTCATCATCATTAATGGTTATGGACAGTGCAAGTGTCAGCAACTACCCTATAAAGAATGTGAAGTGTAATATCTACAGGTAATCAAAAAACAAAAGCAGATAAAACTTATTTTAAATTGCAGGGATCCAAAACTATTAATTTTTTTAAAAAAAGAAATGTTGAAAAAGCCTAGATTTTTCTAGGCTACTTGTTTTGAGTGATGCAGTATTTAAAAGTGTTTTTCTTCTTAAATAACCCATAATATTTTCAATGTGAAATCAGCAATGTTTGCATTAAATTTGCACTCCTGATGTTTGGAAGTCTAAATATGCTCAACCCAAAATATGTAAACTGCTTCATGTTATGTAATTCTATGTGTAAGATTTTTACTCTGAAGCCTCCAGATTTGAGGTAGATGAATAGTCTGGATGAAATGGCGCTGTCAGGTATATTTACAGGTCTCCGTGAAGGAAGGACATTTGCCAAGTGATGCACTGTAGTTATGATCCCCAATATTTCAGTTGACTCAATTTTCTCTTAAGTGGAGATTTAACAGAAAAGGTTAAATTACATTTTTCCCCCTTTCAAAAGCTGATTCTCAAATTTACGATATACAATAGTAAAGTTCAGCAGAGGGATTTTGCTATGTACTGAAGCATGAGGGGAAAAAACCATATTGTTTTCTAAAATTCCACAGTGAGAATTCAGCTTATTGAAATTTGTTCTAGATCTAGAATATAGCTGTTGACACTTCTGAATAAACCAAGATTATATATACTACTTTAAAATAACATCCTTCTACAGGCATTTGGTACCATGTAGTACTATACTTCAGAGTATCTCACAGACACCTTAACTTCTATTGAATATGCCTTGAATTTAAAGCGATTAAGATTTCAGATTACGAGCCAATATATGTTTCAAAGAAAGGAACACTGAATTCTTTATTTTTAAAGCCAGAACAGAAGACCTATTTCTTTTGCTCTCAATCCCAATGGTTACTCTTGATCAGAAATCTAATTTATGAACTAGTGATCTCTCAGGAGGCAAAATTAGACACTGCAGGACAAAGTCACAGTTATCACTGAACAATGTATATACCAATTATAACCCTAATTATTCATAAATGAATTCCACAGGATTTATTTCCAAGCCGTTGTTTGATAGTTTACCCTCGGAAGAGCAAGAACATAAACTTGAACTATCATATTTAGAACAATGTTCCTTGGCTGAGATATCATTCAAACGTAGTACAAAGGTACCCTGAAAAACAAATAGTTTCTAGATAAAAATATTATATCTAAATTGTTTTATGAGGCTAAATTTATCATGCATCTATGTAGTTTAAGAATAAGACTTTTGGGAAGAAGAGAGTATTTAATTCAACAGCTCAAAAACCATGAAAAATAACCAAAGCTATAAATCTAGGAAAAAAGTGTACATATGTATATCTAAAATATCATGCCAAGTTCAACAGCAAACCTTTTTTTACAAGTACTTGCAGAGGGGAAAAAGCATTGGTGCTTGAATTCTTTAGATCGGTTTATAGTATTGTGTATTGTACTTTGCTGAAGTTTTCAAGCTAAACCACTGGCTCAAAAATCCATTTTATATGCATATTTTCTCTTACTGGAATACCTGGATGGATTACTGTAGTGCTTTAACATAAAGTGAGTAATTTGAAGATCTGAGATTTTAAAACCAAGGAATCAAGGCTCTGTACTCATTAACTCCAGCTTTTCATATTGGATACTACATTACATTGAGGCTTCCTACACAATTATTTTTCTAGTTCTTATGAAGTCACTACCTGTTTACTACTAGAATGAAAACAGATGGACGGATAGCCACAACTCTCTCATGTAGTAAGCCTTTATTTTCAGCCATATGCCATATAGTCTATGCATCTGGATAAAGGGAAATTCCCTCTGCATTTAAACACTGCACCGACCAAGAATGGATTAAGTTTCATTGAAATTAATGTTTCTCACACTTCTCTTGTGAATTGTGTATGTTCCAGTGTCTCTCCTCCACTTCCAGCAACACTCCCACACACATTATGAAGGTGCAGATCACTTCAAGTGTTGCCAAGATTCAGCTGTGTATAACTGTGCAAGTGTGTATGAGCGTAGACAAATATGTATATATAGAAAAGAATTACAAGGAAAATTTGACACTTAAAAAGAGAAGTCCTTCCAAATCTTTAACAGGGAGCAAACAGGTTTTGCCACTCATTAGGCCTATATATCCCCACTATATTATATTAAGCCATATACAAATTCTGGAGATTTTAGTAAAAAATAGAAACTGGTTCCAGTATAATGCCTTCCTGAACAGAGGGAGGAGAAAGGAGGGATAATAAAAATAAACACATCCATGAAATTTATAAGTCCTACTTGCACCCTGAAGGATACTCTCAAATGCTATTTCATTGGTTGTTTACCTAAATGCTAACTGGAAGCTATGACAGCTGGCTGGAGCAACTACCTGGCCATATATTTCTTTTTCAGTTGCTGATGCTTGAGATAGCTTCTTTGAGCTTTTACAAATGAAGCTAGTAGTATTTTGCTGCTGCCATTTTCTCTTCCAAAAGAGCAGAGGAAAGCGATCATAAGGATTAGGAAGTAAACAAGTGAATTTCTGGATACAGGCTGTTTATCACCCCTTCAGCTGCTCTTAGCACAGAAGCATAACTTGCTCGCCCCTTTCTATGATAAACTGTTTTCACTTTCCTTGCTTTGAGCTGTAATACCTGCAGATAGTAGGCAAGTAGGCAACTAATATTATCACCAATGCTTATTTAATCTTGGAATTCATGAAAATTAGTTTTTACCATATATACCAGTATTGCTACAAGGCAGTAATGCCTACTTGATTACATTTGGCTGTTGTAAGCAAAATTCATGGGAGATACTTAGTACAATCTCTTGCTTATGTAAATCATAGGCAGAGTGAGTACCAACGAAGAGAAGTTGTATGGCCTGCATTATAAAATCACAGTCAATCAGCAAAACATATCAAATTAACAATTAAATATACAGAGAAAGCTCACTCACTAGTGATGGTCAGCATTCTATATTTTTTTTGCTCTTTATAGATGATGGTATTTTACGTGGTAAACTATTAAAGTTACATTCAATCCAGTATCAATAGAGATGCTAAATATTATTTTAACCAGAAGGAGTACCATGTAAATCAGTTCAAATATGTATGTTCATGGTAGCAATAGTGTCAACTAGGGATGTGCATCTAAGAAGTGCCATCATAAACAGGATGTTGTTTATATCACCTGATAGCAATTAAAAAGGCAATTGTGAACGCTCATATACATTTGACTAAGACACATGAATAAATAAATAATGGGAAATCAAGTGATGCATGTTTGAACCAATCCCAAGGCTAGCCTAATGTAATGTCTCATACAAATATAGTCTCCCCAAAGCACTGTATTTTCATTGGCTTATCATTTCCACCTGTAATTCTTGTGGCATTTACACAGTAATTCCTAACAGCAGAACACCATTTGTAACCATTCCCATTACTCACAGTTTAAGGTTACGGTTACAAAATTCTCAGTGGAAACAAAAATCAAGTGGACCCACTTTTTAGTCACAATGGAAATCTCTAAGGAAAAAATATTGCCATCACTACAGAAAGTTACTATTCCTTACAAACAGATTTCAGAATTAGGACTTGTTGATATAGAGAAAACAAGACCATGAGATTAATTATGTTCAGTATCAATTATTTGCCATGGAATCAAACATTTTATACTGCAACAAGTTTCTGGTTGGAAAGGGAATAACTCAAGAGGGGTATAAAAGTTTAAATGAGGCTTTGGTAGTTAAAATGATTTAAATTGTGTCACACAACAAAAACAAGATTGTGGCCACATCCATGATGTAAAGTTCAAGTCTCTGCTATACTTCCGATATAACATATTCTGGTGTTACCACATTTTAAAATCCTGGAATGTTTCAACAAATGGTGAGATTTATCAACAGACATTACAAATTATGTATGTTAGTAATGTTCCAAGATACATTATTCTGGTGGAGGAGAAAGATTCATAATGCAGAAAGTGCAGTGTACAAAAAACATTAAAAGTGTGTATACTGTAAAAATAGAAGTTGCCTCTTTTTTTGAAATACTTTGAAAATAGGAATGCACTGTTGATCAGAATTGTCTTGGGTGCAAAAATTTATTGTACCAGTTCCTGCAATACAATAGAAAAAATCCCTATAGCCATGCCATTTTTCACAGCCATATTGGTACGGTACTTTGCATTACCTTTCAGTGAAATGATTTTCTAGCCAGTTAAAAATATATTTTAGAAGCAAAAGTACATATGTTTGATTATCAAAGCAATCTTATTCCTTGATGTTTGTGGAAATGGAGTATTTTCACCAGCCTTTAAAGTTTTCCTAATGATTTCACAAGTAAGAATTGTAATAGATTCTCCAATACAGATACTGAGCTCATAAATACTAATAGGTCTGACCAAAAGTATTCAAGAGAATACACTTATGATTTTCTATGAAATATGTTCTTGTGTGGCATATTCCCTTTTAGATGGGAGGTATTTCTCAGTATGAATAGCCAAAGTGAAAAACAATTTGCTGAGAATACCGTTGCTGAGAACAGTATGAAAGCAGATATTTTACTGAAGTATTCTAGTTACAAAAAGTCACATCTGGACAATATTGTCCCGTGCGATGATGACAGGCATAAGGGAGCCCAAAAACATTAGTTTACAAATGTAGCCTTCAGCCAACTCTTCATTTTCTCCCTGTTCCCATTCATGAAATGATGTCGACTTCCTAGAAAATTTTTAATATTTAATGTTGAAATTTGGTTTTGACAACCCAAACAAACTAATTGGATCAATTTATTCACAGGTCAATACTGGAAACGTTCTGTGGTCCCTTGGAGCAGGGCAGAAGCAGCCATTTTTAATAAGGGCTTCCTGTGTAAGTCTAGTGAGGCTTGGCAGCCTTGCAAGATTTGAAGACCACAGGAAGCCTGTATTTAAAAATGGCCACCACCCTTCAAGCACCCAAAATGGATACTGTTAAATGCCACCTGGGCTAAAAATGAAGGGGAAAAAAGGGCTGCTTTTCTTTCACTGGTTTTGGCAAAGAGATAACAGGGGTAACAGAGAGGGACCGCTTCTTTCCTATGCCTGTTGCCACTGCCTCCACACTGGGTCCCTTACTTTTCTTGCTCTTCTCCTCCCATTTTATTTATTTATACTGCTTTATTCATATTGTATTTGTATAGCCATTTTAAAATCAGGAATTCTTGTCCACCCCCATTTCTTTCGTGTCAGGAGTGACTTGAGAAACTGCAAATTGCTTCTGGTGTGATAGAATTGGCCATCTGCAAGGACAATGCCCAGGAAACGCCTTGATGTTTTAATGTTTTATCATTCTTGTGGGAAGCTTCTCTCATGTCCCTTCATGGGGAGCTGGAGCTGACAGAGGGAGCTCATCCACGCTCTCTCCGGATTCGAACCTCAGACATGTTGATCTTCAGACCTGCCAGCACAAGGGTTTAACCCCTTGCGCCATTGGAGGCTCCATGTCCACCCCCACAAACAGACACAATTCTCTTTAACTCTTCCAAAGTATATTACCTCTATGCATTCTTATAAGGAGAGGAAAACATTTTTTTGGCATATGTCCATAGGTTTTAACCTCATCTCATTCATGGATATAGGCCCCAAAGTATAGGTCTAGGCATATTGTGCTCATGAAGGCAAGGGCCCAATCTGCTCTAAAGCCATTAAAATACTGCTTAAGTTAATTTACCTCTAACTGAAATACATCAGTAAAGGAGGTGAACGTATTTCTGAGAATTTCAGTTTTATTTGTAACTGTACTAATGACAAAGCCAGATTTACTGAGGCTTTTGTTGAGATATTAGAATTGTACCCAGTAATGAAGACTCAAAACCCATCTCCCAAAAACATGTTTTGCATTAAGTAACTTCTTCTCACTTCAGTGAGTTGGATAATAAAAGCATGTTACATATGTAATACTTAAGCCCATTTCTTACCAAATGCCTCTATTCCTGAGAGAAATAATGAACAATTGAACAAAGCACCACAGCGAGGAAGCACTTAAGTGATAAGGAGTAATTATTGCATTTGGATGGATTAGAAAAAGGAAACAATTTTGTTAATATTTTAAAATAGAAGACCTGAAGTTATTAACATGTTGAAAACTGTGCTTATCCAGAATTGTAAGCCTAAACGCCTTTATTTCCAAATCAAAACTCTAATGGACAAACTTTTGAATGCAATTAGAATGATGACATCTGAGCATGTACCACAAATCCCAGCAGTTTAATCCATATATCAAATATGCTAGTTACAGTTCCTCACATTTCTGTGATTAGATACTTGGTATTTCCAAGGAGAATGTTTGGGAATAGGTGGTATTTTAAATCTGTTGGTTTTAATACATAGACTCTTGCCTTCACTATTGCTAGAATTCAGCCAGGTTGACATCATTGGCATTTATTTTTAAAATACAAAACTAAGTTTGGAAGTTAACCCACCAAAATAGATAACCCCAAAGGTCAAGTGCTTTTATCACCAGAAGAAAAATCTTTAGTCTAATCAGACCTTCAAGAATACTGGTGTGTATCTGTACATTCATGTTGCAGTACTACTCCAGTTGTGACTATTATTGTGACACTGCATCACCACTGAGTCCCAATCTACCAAGTGAAAACAAATACTTTGAAGCAGGGTCAGGCAACTGTGGAAAGCTAAGTATCTTGTCTTCCTGCACACCTCAAAGTGGCATAGTAGTCACCTTTTTGGGGTGAGGGGGGGTGGGGGTGTTTTCCCTTGAACATCATTTAGGAAACATGTTCACCAGATTTTGAGGGCCATCCTGGGCCTTTTAAACAACAGGGATACAGTAAAATCCACTTGCTGTTTCAAAAATGTTTTTCTAGGGATTAGACCAGTGCTAGAAAGCAGTGGGGAGGACATGGAGAAAATGTTCCTCATGCCGCCTAGAGGACACTGTGGAGCAAAATGTTTTTGGGGGAGAAATGTCCTTGTTGGTCCTTAGTCAAGGGGTCTCCAAACCATGCTGAAATGCTCTCGAAGAGCATTCAGGGTTTATGACCTTTGTGAGCCTACATGGTCATTACTTTAAAGAACGGATGGGCCACAATGGCTGTATCTCCTGCTGAGTTTCCTTGTACATGGAAGGCTTGTGAATCTCTTAACTATAATATGCAATTAGGTCACTTTTATTTTTGTGCTAATTATTAATGTTGATTTAATGAACTTCCAGACTTCTGAAGGGGCACTGTTCAAAGAGTTTTGCCTTGGCTGAAGAGTTAACCACTGGCTGTGATCACCATCAGGCCCTCCTTTTCTCAATTTTGTGTTAGCAGAGGAAGAAATAAATGAAGGCTACAGTCACCCTTGCCTTATTATTTTTTGATGAATTCACAGAAGACTGCATTTGACTAAAACTAGTCCAGATCCATCAGAATTTTTCTGCAATGAGACAAGGGGAACTTGTCTTGGCAAAGCTATAGAGGGATCTGAGTACACCTCAAAAGAGCTGGTAAAGGGGAAATACTTGGAAAAAAGTCAACAGTGTGATAATTTCTGA